AAAAAAAAAAGATATGTGACTGTGTGTGATGAGCAAATTCCTATAGCTACCCCTACTGCTAAACATGGAGAGGACTCTGCTCCCATTCACTGGGTATGGAAGTCTTCTTTTTACAGTTTTCCATACTGACCATTTTAGTCTGTTTGCAACCATCTTTCCAGGAACTCAAAATGACAGAGGAGAGAGGGCCCATCTGATTTGAGTTAGTAAGTATTTTGTTTTCGTAGAGTTTTCTTGTAGCTATGTGCTTTTCTAAAAATTTTACTTATACTCCAGGAACAAATAAAAGACAGAACTAGGCATTGGCTTTGCATCCATCCCAAACCTTTGACACAACTCCAGAAGCAGAGAAGCTCTAAGCATAATAAAATTTAAAATTTCTAACAGCTCATTTAAGATCAGAATTTAAATGAAATTATAATAAACTGATGCTTTATTCACTTTTAGTAAACAAATATGATTGCCTTACCCTGTTGTAGGTACTATTCTAAGTGCCAGAAATAGAGTTGAAGGAGAGGCAGGCAAAAGTGTTTGGCCTCATAGTACATACATTCGAATGTGCTGAGAACCTACCAGCTGTGTGTCAGAACTGCATGGTGTTTTCTAGTGATCCTCTTTGACTGAATATCTCTGCTAATGTCCAGTTATTGACATTGAGACTGTGCAAAGACAATGGAAAGTTACCAGAATAATTATGGATTTTGGAAATATGACTGTCATAAATATGCATATAAATATAGATACAAAATTAACAACATGCTTTAAAACTAATTGGACATATATGGCATGGTAAGTACATGACATACTAGAGACTTGTTAAAATTTTCCTAGATTAAATGTTCTACTATTCTTGAACCATAATAAGAAAAGAGGTTGGTATGTGGATAATATCACTATTATTATTATTAATTTGGAATCTTATATAGGCATATTACCAGAGTTCTGATAAACATGATTATCTCAATTGTCCTAGGCACACCTGTGAGGCTTTCTCCTGAACTCAAATTTTGACATAGGCTAATACTATAATGGAAGTAATGATCTTTTGGAAATATCTGTACAATTTGGCAATAGAGACTGTTTTCTGAAAGTGAAACTCCTTTTATGAAGAAAAGATATCTGAAAGTCAGAAAGAATTGCAGGGGTGCTGTAGCTGAGGCAAATATTTAAACTTGCCCCAGGCAGTCTTAGTAAGTTGGCTCATAAAAAATTAGAAATTTGGAAATGGATTTGAGTACTTTTTCAACTTAGAAGGATTTATAGGCATATGAGAAAAACATTTTTTTTTCAGAAAGAAAAAAAATCCTAAATGCTTATAGAAACTGGTTAAAGAAATAAAAATATAATAAACTGCCTACATTTTTATTGAGGTTAGAAATTTTAGTTCATAGGAAATAGACCATTATTATATAATATGATTGGTTGATTTCTAACATTTTTGAAAGGGTCTCAACAGATTCTGATTCTGTGCCTTTTTTTTTTTTCCTGATGGAATACAAGGATCCCTTCCCCTTAAAAAATTTAACCACTGAATGTATTAAAGAAGAGAGTGGAAATGGATTTTGCTTATTCTATATGCTATGAATCCAAGCTAAAGCTATTTGTTAAGTAGCAATTTGGGTCCTGCATACATGGACTAAATAAATATGCATTTATAGCAAAATTTCTGCTTGAAAATTCAAATGTTTTTGAGAAACCAGATAAAAGTTTATTTGTACTGAATCAGAACAAAATATATTTCATTCTTTTATAATTGTGTCAAACTAAATCCTATTGTCATATGTAACTATAAAGAACCAATAAAAAACTATAACTCTAAAAACACTATATAAGTTTCCCAAGAATAAGCTACCAAGAATAAGCTACCAACTAAAATAATTCATTATTCTAAAAATGGTCATGATCCTTAATATGTCATCTATGTGTTGGCCAATGGCCATGATAGAATAACACTGTTGCAGATCATTAGTCCAGAACCAGGAATCACCAACAACACGCAAAAAAGGTCAATATCATGAAAATGGCATTAAAAATTTCATGGAATGGTCCATGAGCTAGGTTTTATATGCTAAGCACCTCATAAAACACACTTAATTGACCAAATATTCAATAAAATGGAGAAGCAATCTCATGTAAAAGAGATCTATAAAGTCATAAAAAAATCATGTATTGCTATATGTCAATAGACTTGAAAATGAATGGATTTTGGAGAAATAATAATATACCAATATTGATGCCAAAAGAAATAACAATTTTGAATAGATTGATAGTCAGTAAACAAATTATAATGCAATTGAAAATTATTCTCTTCAAATAGTTCCAGGCTAAAAATTATTTCAGGTGAATACTACCAAAATGTCAAGAAACAGATTCTATTTGTCTTTCCCAACATGTTTTTATAAATTAAATTGATATATTAAACTGAACAAAGTATCCAGTCATATAATTAAATGAATATTGCTTTAATCCTTAAACTACCAAAGAAACAAATCTATATGCAAATTTCAAAATAATATAAGAATAAGAACTTCATATTAGCTGATCAAAAATACAGGGTATTAAGAAAATAATTCATTTTAATTAAGTAAATTTACCTTGAAATGCAAGGATAATTAAATCATAGAGTATCTCTTAGTGTTTATCAAAACATTGATGGAAAAATATCACATACTTTCTTATACTTTCTCACTAGTCATTTTAAAAGTTTCAGCACTTATTCATGATAAAGGCTAATAGAAAGCAGGGGTAGATAGCAAACTTCTTAACTTAATCAAAGTTTTCTCGCAAAAAACTAAAAGCAAATGTATGATGAATTTTAGAAATATTATCTTTAAAGTTTGAGAGAAGGCATAGATTCTTGGTTGCCTATATTGAAAGGCAATATGGAAAGGCCTGATAAATGTAATGTGATATGCTGTGTGGCATACAGCAGATAACATTGTCATTATCTCAAGATAATTTGGTAATTAAAACAAAG